CATACAGCCCCTAACGACATAGGGAACACCACTGAGTGATTTGAAGGCATTGGAACTGTGTCCGCTTGGATTCACATTGGAGAATGTGCTTATCTGCCAGCCTTCACTTCATCTCCTCCTTCACTCAGTTCTTCTTGCAACAGTGCTTAGTCTCCAACTACAGTAGTAGGCTGTGTTCTCTTTGGTGAACTTTGACCCTAGTGTCAGGCAGGGAGGGAGCAGACACTGAAACCTGTCTTTGCCATCTGAGTGCTTGACATATGCCACCTCCTCCTTGGCCAAGTGAGGAAACAAACTCTGAGAGCCCCTAGTGCATAGAAAAACATGTGGTTATTTAAAATTAAATTTATTCAGATAAAATAAACATGTTTTTCTACAGTTGCCCAAGCCATATTTCAAGTGTCCAATAGCTACCTGTGGCTGGTGGCTGTCCTATTGGATAACTGGATATTGCAGGTGAAGACTGTGATAACTGTAGACGTTTTTATTACACACCGCTGGGACTGATCTTCCGAGAAGGGACAAAGGTCACACAGCTAGCAGAGAGTAGAATCAAGGAGGGGAGAGGGTTGGAAAGACTGTTAGTTTCCTTTCTATTTTGGTTTCTAAGCATATTCTGAGAACATTTTTTTTGTCCGACAAATAGCCAAGAACATCCTATGTGAGTTGGGCAATGTTCTAGTGCTATTGTGTGGGACGGTCAGTCTCTATCCCAATAGTTTGCCTTCCAGCAGGAAAAGACTACTAATCTACCAACAAAAATTTTATCATGTACCTGGATGATTAAAATAGAAATTTTAAAATGATAAAATAATAAAGGAGTAAAGGAGATTATATGTGCCTTAGGATACAGCAGACTGGCTTCAATTTTAAATAGAGTTGTATGGGCACCCCCTTTAAAATGGTGGCATTTGAGTAACTGTTTAAACAGAGTTAAGAGTGTGGACGTTGGAGGCGGAGTGAAGGGCGGCTGTGAGAGGTTTAAGACAAGAGCATCCATGGCGTATTAGAAGAACAACAAGCAGGCAACTTGGGATTGGCTGGACTCAAGTGCATCAAGAAATTAGTAGAGGATAAAGTCACCCAGGAGAAGGTGAAAGACGAGGTGTAAGTGAGAGAGAAGATGGGGGGTGAGAGAGGAAGAGGAGGTGATGAAGGAAGTGAGAGAGGAGGAGGAGGAGAGCCCCAGGGGGCTCCAAAAGGTTCTGGCTGTGACTTTGAACAAGACAGGAATTAATGTGAGTTTTTAGAAAGAGGATGACCTGGTTTTGCATGTTATGGATGTGTGCTTGCAGTTTCAGGGAGAGCTGGCTGTATGGGTGAGGGGCAGGGAGCAGTCTAGCCAGTGCCCTTCTAGCTTAGGAATGGGGCGGTCGTTTGATCAAGCCCCAGTTGAGGTGAAGAGAAGCAAAGTCAGATTCTGGACCTGTGTGTCTGAAGGAAGTGCCGACAAAAGATGCCAATGGATTGCTTGGATAGATTATAAGAGACATGAATAAAGGATGATTCCAAGATGTGACACCTTGGGCCAGTATGATGTCTCAGCGGGTAAAGGCACTGGCCACCAAATTGGATGACCTGAATCCAATTCCTGCATATCTTCACGATGGAAAGTGAGAACCGTTTCTCATATGCCGTCCTCTGACCTCCACAGGAGTGCCATGGCGTGTGCATCTACGCACACAAGTAAATAAATAAATACAAGGAAAAACAGATTTTCAGCAGTAAGAAGGATGGAATTCCACCAACATGAGGCACGGGTTGGTGTGATGAGGCAGCCCAAGAACTCTGTCAGTAAACGCCCAGATGGAGATGTCACTTGAGTAAGCAAAGGAATATACAAATTTGGTGTTGGAGGATAGTTACTGCGCTCAAGATGACACTCTAGGTGTCATTCCGCAGGGGGATAGTATTTAAACCCCAATTCTAAGTAAAATTGCCGGAGAGAAGTACAGCTCTGATTCTGAAGTGTTTCCACCATAGTCTGAAGAGGTTAAAAGGAGAAAGAAGTAGAACAGGGAAACAGAAGGTGACAGCAAACACAAAAACAAGAGGTGAAGAAGCAGCCAGGGACACAGGAGAACAGCGTCCTGAAAGCTGAGAAAAGAGAGGTCCCTTCTTTCCATCCGTCCTTCTTTTGGGCTCTTATTTCCCAAAGCTAAGGTATAGCTTAAGGAGGGAGAGAAGGAGCGGAGGAGCTGCTGGGTTCCCTCACCTGTCTGTCCTCTGTGAGAAATCAGATCACAGTCTCTCCTGACCCAAGAGACACGTCTCTCCTCCTGCTCACTCAGACACCTGGCAGCTCATAGGATGAGAGTCTGTGCATGCTGACTTCAGGGTCTTTGGGTCTGAGAGAGAAAGAGTGTGTGGTTAAAACTCGGTTGTTAGGGCCTGCATTATAGTCCTCCACCTGAGTCCTAGGTTGAAGTCTTAATCTTTTTTTTTTAATATTTATTTATTTATACAATGTTCTGTCTATATGCCTGCGGCCAGAAGAGGGCGCCAGACCTCATTACAGATGGTTGTGAGCCACCATATGGTTGCTGGGAATTGAACGCAGGACCTTTGGAAGAGCAGGCAATGCTCTTAACCACTGAGCCATCTCTCCAGCCCCTGAAGTCTTAATCTTAATACAAACTAAAAACTCCTGAAATTGAAATGCTTCAAATACCAAAAGTTTTAGTGCCTTTGCCTGGTGCCAAAAGTAGGAAATTCTTCGCCTATCCTTATGTGATGGGCTGAACAAAATGAGGTCACCCTAAGAATATGTAAAATTACCTTCTAACTATGTGCATGCAGTATACAAAAACCTTGTGCAGGTAACTGACATCAGAGGAACTGGTCCTCATCAGGCCCCAGGGAGAGATAGCCCATCTCCAGCAAGGAGAGCAGCAGACGAGCAAAGGGAACCCATGTTCCTATGCTTCAAGCCCACTCCTGAAATGCCCCTTAACTTGGGGAGATATAAGAGTCTTCCTCTCCTTTTCTGCCTTTCAAACAACGTACCTGAGAGATCCGGACAGCAGACTGCGGAGGCTAGCAGATGTGAAAGCTAGCAGATGTGGAACTTGCAAGATCCGAACACCAGACTTGGGGGCTAGCAGATGTAGAACCCATAGAATTCAGACCCCAGACTGTGGAAGCTGGGGGATGTGGCGGCTAGAACATGTGGAACCAGCAATGAAAATATGCACATTAGTAGCAAACGCTGAATATCTGCCTGGATCCTCCCGCATGGTGAAGCAGGCCCATCTTAAACACAGATTACCTCAGCAAGAGCCGGGGAGATGGAAAGCTGGGCATGACTGATGCCCCAACAGAATAAAATTCAAGCTGAATTGGCAAGATGAAATACACTACCACTATTGCGCCACAGAGAAGGAAAATAACTTCAGTGACTAAAAAGCAGAGCTCTGGGATGATGGCTCAGTCTGTGAAGTGTTTGCTTGCAAACACAAAGACCGAGTTCAATCCCCAGAAGTCATTTGGGGATTGTGATTTGGGGGAGAAGACAGGAGGAGTTCTGGGGCTCAATGACTCAACTTACTTGGCAAGTGACAGGCTTCTCTCTCTCTCTCTCTCTCTCTCTCTCTCTCTCTCTCTCTCTCTCTCTCTCACACACACACACACACACACACACACACACACACTCACACACACACACACTCACACACAGAGGAAAAAAGTAGATAGATGGTGGCTGAAGAAAAATGTCCCAGGTAGTCCTCTGATTTTCTCACACCTGCATGAACATGCACGCACACACATGCATACACACGTATTCACATACACACACAAACTGTGCACACACAGGAAGCAATGATATTGGCACTATAGGGAGGAAGAGTTATTTATGGGCTTTAGTTTTTACAAGATGAAAAGAGTTCTACATATGGTGATGATGTTGGCACAAGACCATTGAATGACCTGTTAATGTACATTTAAAAATGGTCAAGATGTGACTCCTTTAAATTGTCCTCTGACCACACACACTCCTTAGTATGGTTAGCAATATTTAAGTGATTAAGATGGTAACTTTTACTATATGTGTTTAATCATCATTTTTTGTTTTGTTTTGTTTTGTTTGTTTGTTTTTGTTTTTTTTTAAGACAGGGTTTCTCTGTAGCTTTGGAGCCTGTGCTGGAACTAGCTCTTGTAGAACAGCCTAGCTTCGAACTCATAGAGATCCATCTGCCTTTCTGGGATTAATGGTGTGTGCCACCACTGCCCGGCTTTATCATCATGTTTAAATTGGAGGAGACGTTCTGTAAGATGTGCTCACCTGAGAGTTGTCACTTAAGAATCTGGTACCTAGCCAGCCACGGGGGTACACACCTTTAATCCCAGCACTCAGGAGGCAGAGGCAGGTGGATCTCTGTGGGTTCCAGGCCAGCCTGGTCTAAACAGTAAGATCCAGGACAGGCAGAACTGTTAACACAGAGAAACCCTGTCTTGAAAAACAAAATAACAAACAAAATCTGGTACCTGGGCCGAGTGGTGGCTCAGGCCTTTAATCCCAACACTCGGGAGGCAGAGGCAGGACGATCTCTTGAGTTTGAGGACAGCCCAGTCTATATAGTGAACTCCAGGGCAGTAAAGGCTATGTAGAGAAACCCTACCTTAAAAAAAATTATCTGTAACAACAGATAAAACCTGAAATGAATCTAGAAAAGAAGGCAAGCTGAAGGAGAGATGCCCAGATTGTTCAGGAAGAATCAAGAGCACAATTAGACGGAGGTGGGGAGGTGTGCATCCCACTGCTGACCTATTGCCACCTTGAACAAATCAGGAAAGGACAGACTCAAGCCTCTCAGACAGACAGACATAGCCGCAGACACACCTATAACGTCTTTCAGTCACATCTTCCAACCCAGAGACATTGTTGGGTAACTGGAATCTGGCTTGCAAGCAAAGATTTCCACAGATGTCAAGGACAATGTTGTATAAGGTGACTTTATTTCACAGGGCAAAGGGTTAAATGCCACCCAACTACATGCTGTCTGAAGCTTTCGAAACTGCAGTAGACGAACCCTCTCCAGGAACAGTTCTAGCCGCAAGAGTGGTCCCTCTAGAACTGCCGTTGCTTCTCAGGGAGCAGGGTGACCATACAGCTTGCAAGAACAATGGCTTCATGAAGAAACAACCATGCTTATAGCTTTTGCTCCCCATTGCTGCAAGATATGAACTTTATAAGATGAACTTATAAGCTTTTAAAAGCTGACAGAAGAGAACATATTATATGCAGCTGTCCATGCCCCTAGGCTGCATCCCTGCCCAGTCAGGTGGTGACTCTGCACGTTGACTGGGTGAACGAAAGCTTGAGGAGCAGAGGGAAGCTCCATGCAGCTGCAGCTGGCTGCCTCTCCCTGCAGCTGCTTCACCCAGGAGCCTAACCAGGTAGGGATACGGGGGTCCTCCTCACATCTCAGAGAGCTTGATATCGTAGGTGACCATGTTGAAGTTGTCCCACGCAAAGAGCTTCCTCTCCAGGGGGTTGTAGTCGATCATGCTGCTGTACTTGTAGCGATTCTGGAACGGAATGCTCACGGCCTTGCTGACGCCGGTGCCGGTGTGGTAGGCGAAGTTGACAGTTGCCTGGGCGGAAGAGTAGCTGCTGACTGTGTACAAGGTGCCACAAATGACAAAGGCGTTGGCCACGGACTGCTTACGGATGTTGGTCTCCCAGGTACGCTCAAGTTCCAGATTCTCTGGGTTCAATCTGGAGAGGACAATGGCACCTTTGGCTTCCTCTGTGCTGTAGATGACCCAGAGACCGTTTTCATCCACAGCTAAGTCAATGTCTGTGTAGCCTCCCCAAGCATACGGGAACTGTCCGTGGTAGCCTGCTCCAGGAATTTCCTTCTCAGCCTTCAGCAGCTCGGTGTTCAGCTCGTACCTGAACACAGTTCTGGACTCCGCTCCCTGGAAATAGAGGCTCCCAGCGTACACCACAGCACCCGTGCTTTCCAGCGCCCGGGGGAGCACGTAAACCTTTGAAGGGTAGCCCTGCTCGAACTGGCTTATCAGGCTGTACTCAAACACCTGGCGGATGCCAGTGCCAACGGTGTCAATCCTCCATGTGGTCTCCTGGGTGTATGGGTGGGCGGGCTTGGGGTCTCTCATCCACACTCCGTACTTGCCAGTGATTGTTTCGGCAGTCCTCAGAGTGACTGGCTCTCCTACCCAGATTAGCTCTCCACATCCTGATGAATTAAAAAAGAAAATAAAAAGATGCCATGTTCTAGTATCTGTAAGTCTTCCAAACACAGATAGCAGGATTGTGGGAGCAGAGCAGAGAGAGTGGGAACAGAATGGATTGACATCTGAGCCCTGCCACCCTGTGAGGCACTTAGCTCTGTAAGCCCTGGCTTTCTCATTTGTTTTTGTTTTTGTTTTATTTTATGTACACTGGTGCTTTGCCTGAATGAATCTGTGTGAGGGTCTCAGATCCCCTGGAACTGGAGTTACAGACAGTTGTGAGCTGCCATTCAGATGCTGAGAATTGAACCTGGGTCCTCTGAAAAGAGCTGCCAGTTTTCTTAACCACTGAGCTATCTCTCCAGCCCCTGGCTTTCTCATTTACAAAGGGCGTTTAAAGTTCTGGGTAACGAGGTTGTTGTCAATGTAGATGTGATTAGACATGCCCAAGTGCTTGGACTAGAGAAATACACAGCAGATCCCATGTGATGAGTCTGTGAGATGAATCTTGCACTCAGTGAGGCAGAAGGCTGTACTGGGCTCTGACTGTGTTTGCGATTCAGTGAGGCAGAAGGCTGTACTGGGCGGGCTCTGACTGTGTTTGTGATTCTCTCCTTGAACCTGGCAGGGATTTGTGGATGTTTATTACATTGCTCTTCATGATTTTCAAGTTGGGGTTCTTTTATATAAACAGGAAATCAGTTCATTGTGAGCATAGTCCCTGTATGACAGTTGTTCAAGCCTGACTTAATGGCCCACATATTTGATAGATGCATTTAAAATATCATAAAAACAGAGTGTGAGTTTTTTTAAATATAATGAATAGATAGATGAGAATTTGACTTTAGGGGATTCATGATAAATCTCCATCCTTTTCTGCAGGCCTTGAGCTTCCTCACAAAAGGCAAATAAGGATGCTTCCCCTCAGGGACTCACACTTCCCACACTTCAGGACTAGCGGGGATTGTGAATAACACAGTCAGTATTACTCTCTGGAAACAACAGCCTTGTTTCATGGGACACTTGGAGAGGTACAAGCGTACTTTTCCTTGATGAACAAAGGTCAGAAGTGCCAAGAGTATGCATGATACATACCCACCCCTCCAAGGGAGGGAAGTAAGACGAAGAGGGCTTATGGGGCAAAGATGGACTTCCTGTGCACCCATCTAGATGAGGCAGCAGAGAGGTTTTTACTTCCCTCTCCCCAGCTCTGCTTAGGGAAAGTCACCTGTCTTGGCTCCTGAGTGAACACAGAACAAGACACACAATGGCCAGGTGGGCTCAACAGGGAAGAAATCTAACTTCATACCTTTGTCTCCCTCCTTGCTCCGGGGCTGGCCAGATGGACTCCCCTTCAATATCTGAGAAGCAGGAACCTCCGTTAACTCTGACTTCAGTTCCTGGAAGGCCAGCGTGTCCAAGTTCCACTGAGAGACTAGATCCAAAGAAAGAGACACATAGTAGTTGGCGAAGAAGTAGCACAAGATCGGACTCATTGGGGTGACAATTGATACATTCCCAAATACTTTAAGATTTGTTTTGGGAGCCAGGTAAAGGAAGATGCAGAATGATGGAATCACATTGGCCGCTTATTGGAACTGGGGGGCTGGTTTCACTGGGATTCACTTGTCTCTTTACTTTTGTGACCATTTGAAAATGTGCATAATTAAAAAGCTTACAAGTGATAGATTGCATAGCACTCTATTTAACACAGCGTTCAATATTCAGCGCAAAATAAAATACAGCAAGAGTCTTCTGTGATTTCTATAAATTCCACTAGGGATACTGATGGCTAATGAAGTATGGTTTCAGGAGTTCAAAGACAGTCAGGTATTAGGATTCTCTTCAGTGTTTGAATTTCAGCAGCTAAGTATTCACTGCAGCTGAAGGGATTTTACGTGTTCTATGTGTAAGAATACTTGTAAGAATTAGATCAACTTTTGGTTTTTAACTATGTTTTTACTTTTGCTTGTGACACAATTACATGTACATATATTGATGGGATAGGGTGATATTTCCATATATGTATACATGGAATAGTGATCAGTTCAAAATAACTGCATATCCATCAACAATATTATTTGTTTGTGCTGGGAACATTTACAACCTTTGGTAGCTATTTTGAAGTGTGCAGGTGATTGGCAGCAACTCATTAAGCTTTACATGTTCTTTTCTGAGATCCATTTGCATAAGGAAGATGTCTGAGTTTCCTCTAGAAATTCCTAGAAAAGGGAAGAGGCCACCACACAATGGTCACCATGAGCCACCACATGGTTACTGTGAGCCACCTTTTCCTAGCGTCAGATTCCTTACTGCTTGCACCGCATAAAAATTATTTCATATTTAGCCAAGAGATGGTGTTGCACATCCTTAATCCCAGCACTTGTGAGGCAGAAACAGGTGGATCTTTGTGAGTTCGAGGTCAGCCTGATCTAAAGAGTGAGTTCTGGGACAGGCTCCAAAAAGCTACAGAGAAACCCTGTCTCGAAAAAAAAAAAAAACAAACAAACAAAAACCCTATTTCATATTTGAAGTAGGTTGGTTTACTGTTTGGTGAGAGCAAGAGCAAAATGTATATTAAGAAAAGAACCATGCACACCTGTGATTCGGTGAGAAGAAAATGAGTTTCCCTCTTTAGTTTCCGAGATAATAAAATGGAAAGAAAAGCATACAGCTAGGCGTTTTCATAGATGACTTATTAACAAAGCTGAAGTACTAACAAAAACACCAAAAAGTGTGTGTGTGTTTGTGTGTGTGTGGAGAGAGAGAGAGAAAGAGAGAGAGAGAGAGAGAGAGAGAGAGAGAGAGAGAGAGAGAGAGAGAGAGAAGAAGAGAGAAGGGGGAGGGGGGGGGGGAGGAGGAGGAGGAGGAGGAGGAGGAGGAGGAGGAGAGGAGAGAAGGGATGGGGAGGGGAAAGGAGAGGAGGGAGGAGGGAGGGAGGAAGGGAGAGACAGAGAGAAGAGAATAGAAGAGATGATCGTTAGCTAATGATAGCCTTCCCCATAGTTAAACAAATTACTCACGGTGCGCACCTAGTGAGATGGAGTTCCTGCCACCACTCTGCTTACTATTGGTCACCTCTTATTCCCATAGCAGTCCTAAAAGTAACCCAGTAATCCACCTCAGCAAACGAGGAAAGCAAGGGTCAGAAGGGGTGGGAAATCTACCAAGATTTTACTACCAGTAAGTGCTGGGGCTGGGAGTTGAACCACTGTCTTCTGAAGTCATGGCATTTATATCCCTTCTACTCTGAGATTAGGGGCTTTGCCAGCTACAAATAAACGTATTGGTTCTCATAGCTGGATGCTCCCCTCTGCAACTGCTCTGCCGAAGTGAGCACTGCTGAACCATCCCAGGAGAGGGCGCTACAGAGACACCACGGGAGGAGGAGGGTCTGCAGCTCACCTTTGCTGGCTTGTCATAAGCACTTGAGGGCATCCTAAGGTCCCTAACTCCCAGTTCCTCAGTAACTTCAGCTTGGCAGTACACATTCCATAAGGAAGCCAGAACTGATGTCTCGAGACATTAGTGTTCTGAATGTACCCGCCCCATCTACTTGAGGCTCTTCTGTGTGGTGCCATAGGTCCCTGGGGGTGGTCCCCACCTGCACACAGGGGGATTTACAGCTGCTGAGGCCAGAACAAACAGTTCCACCTGCTTTCAGATGGGCAGAGAGAAGTCTGCAGTCCTTCTAAGTCTGTCCAGCCTGCCTCAACCCCTGTAGCCCCAGGCTGCCATATGGAGATTACTTACATACAGAGTTTGTTATATCTGCTCTCTTGCCATTGTTACTGATTTTCATGTGGTTAGGTATAAAGGGCTAACAGGAGGAGACACATTTCCCTTAGAAGGGAAAGTAGAATAGAAAGTTAATGGATAGAAGGGGGTAGGGAGGATTGGGGAAGATCAAACTGGAGAGGGGTCAAGTGAGGGAATATAAGGAGGGACAGCAAAATTGAAGGACCATCTGAGGCCTTGAATGGAAGCCTAACACATCAGAAGCTTCCTGCGGGGGGCTAAGCAGATTTCATTGTCTCTAGGGCAAACACTAGAACAGAATAGTTGTTATTCTCTATACCTAAGATCCAGGCTGCTGTGCAGGCTCCTCTGCCAACTGGACTATACGATCCAGCCAACCTTATGGTACTTGGTCTCAGTGGCAGATAGGGATGCAGTTTGAAGCCTTTGGCAGGCCCCTATAGGTGAATCACAGAAGAGACCTTTGGAAATTTAGAGCAAAACTCTTATCAGCATCTGCAGACAAATATTCTCCCTTTGAAAGACAGCAGGCCTGCTACTGGGCCTTAGTGGAAACTGAACATTTGACAATGGGCCACCAAGTTACCATGTGACCTAAAATGCCCATCTTGAGCTTGGTGTTTATCTGACCCACCAAGTCATAAAGTAGGACGTGCACAGCAATAATCTATTATCAAATAGAAATGGCATATATGAGATGAGACCCAAACAGGTCCTCAAGGCACTAGCAAGCTACATGAAGAAGTTACCCAAATGCCTGTGGGTTTCTACTCCTGATACAATGCCATCTGCTGCCAAGCAGTCACCTACAGCCTCATGGGGTGTTCCCTATGATTGGTTGACTGAGGAAGAGAAGATTAAGGCCTGGTTTACTGATGGTTCTGTATATTATTCAGGCTCCACCCAGAAGAGGACAGCTGCAGCTTTATAACCCCACTTCTGGTACCACTTTGTCTTAGACTTTCTATTGCTGCAATGAAATACAGAGACCAAAAAGCAAGTTGGGGAAGAGAGGGTTTATTTGGCTTACACTTCAGCATTGTTGTTCCTCATAATTGTTTTCTAGGAGTACTTTGCCCTTGAAGAAATCATGGTGGAAATCAGTGATTGTTTTCTGAGATTTATAGAGTTGTTTTTCTGAAGCAGCCTTACAGCCTTTGCATGACACTAGTCACAAGATGGTCCTGGCACACCTGAAACTTTTAATTATTGGGTGCTGCAAACAGTACACAAAAAAGACTAAAGCAGGGCAGGAATGATGTAAAACATATGGATCAGGGATTTTGATATGAGGAACTTGTTTACCCCCCAAAAAAAAGTCCTTGGATAATCACCAATAAATATGCTTTTGAACAGGTGTTTGAGGTTCAGTTCATCAGAAGCTGGACCTTTCTGTTGCCACAGAGGGCCTAAAATTTACCTTGGAGTAACTCTCTTTTTCTGATTGTCTCACACAACACAGAACACCCAACAGTTTTCTGAATTATATACATTTATAAAGGTGATCGGTGAAATCACTAAATAATAGGGGAGACAGAGCCTCAAACAGAATGAGCTATATCTAATAGAGTTGCTGGACAAAGGAGTTTCATGGGAACCCCCAAAACAACCCAGGCTATTGCAAAGGCTATAGGTTTCTCTCCACAAACCGATGGCAAGGTCCTATTGCTAAAAATAATACCTGTACAACTCACTGAACACAGAGAAGTTGAGCTGGTGCCTATCTGGAGCCTTCACTCCTATTGACTAGTGTTCTTGAGGGGGAAAGGTACTCTGCTTGCTACCGAAGTTGAATAAACACTAATCCAACTTCAAACCCTTTGATTTACACTGGTGTCTTGCCTGAAAGATATATTAGGGCAATAGTGGTGCAAAGCTGTGGGAGTAACCAACCAATGTCTGATTTGATTTAAGGCCCATTCCATGAGATGAACTCATCCTATACTGCTTGAGTGACCAAGATCCCTGGACTAGATAGGACAAGGACCTAGGGTAAAAATCAAATACTGCTGTTCTACAAAAGAAGCATAGCAATAAAACAACTCTTAACAATATTTTGCTACACTCAGATCAATACCTAACTCAGCCATCATCAGAGACGCTTCCTCCTATAACAGATGGGAACAAATGCAGAGACCCACAGCTAACCTTGGAACACTCAGCCCTAAAGGGAATGTCTCTATCAAATCCCTCCCCTCAGGGCTCAGGAACCCTGTAGAAGAAGGGGCAGGAAGGCTGTAAGGGCTAGAGGAGATGGAGGACACCAAAAACCAAGTCCCTTTAATTCAGTAAGACTGACATACATATGAATTCATAGAGACAAAGGCAGCATGCACAGGGCTTGCATGGGTCTGTACCAGACCCATGAGCTGAGAAATGGGCACATGCTCCATTCCTAACCCAGGAGCAATCTCTGATTGATAACCACTTGCAAATAAAAAATTAACTTTCTTCAAGGGCGTCTCACTGAGGAAACAAACCACATGCCCACAGTAGATAGATGACGAACAGAAAATTAACCCACTGTCATCATTGGCATTTTCTTATCTCAAAATGTCACATCAGGCCTTTTTTTCCAATCATACAGGTTTTGCATATATATTATGGCTGGCAATTGTGTGTTTTTACGGGACTTCTGAATGATTTTCTTGGGATGTTTTCATTCTGTTTGTTTGTTTTGTCCTATTCTGATTTGATTTCGCTTTCTATTCTATTTTATTATTATACCTTAGATGCCTGTCTGTTTTCTAACAAGAGACAGGAAGGGGGTGGATCTGGATGAGAGGACAGGTAGGGAAGAACTGGAATGAATAAACAGAGGGAAAAACATAGTAAGAATGTATTGTATGAAAACATCTATTTTCAATAAAAGAAAAAATAATTCTGTCTGTTAAACTTCCCTAACTTCTGCATCCTCACTGGACCCAGACAGTGACTGGTGGCTTCATGAGAGCCACTGAGCTCTTATAGAGTGACCCCCACCTGCAGCAGAGTTCAGGCTCCAGATGGTTGCCCAGGACACCCACATAGCACAATCACCCATCAGATCTTCTTCCAGAGAGGCAGAGGCACAGGGGGATGGGGCTCTGTTCCCATCCTCATTCCACTATGTCCCACCCCACCATTAGGAGCAGGAGACCTCAGCTCTGGCTCACTTCCTGTTTTCCCCCAGTCTTCACCATGCCTCATGCACTTTCCTTGTGGTAAACAAGAACCGTAGTAACACAGAATATTAAGGAAAGGTTTCCAGAAGCCACTTGGTTCATTTCCAGTTGGCAGGTGCCGTGGTTGGATTAGCAACCTCTTGGTGGCCTCATGGTCATCTCAGCCAGGAGCTCTAGCAGTATTCAGAATCCCCCAGGAGAGCCATCTGGCAAGTCTGCTAAAGGAAGGCATGGAAGTTTTGTGTGAAGGGACCTGGGTCGAGCCAGAAATTGTATTTTCGTTTAGTTCTGCCTTGTCCCAGCTCTGGGACTTTGGGCAAATGAGTCAGCCTCCAGAGCCCCAGTATTGTGAGCTGTACAAATATATCAGGTTGTTTTTTGAAGATTATACAGGAACCATAAATAAAATAGTCCTGAATAAGGATGTGTCCAAACTCGGATTTTTCTGGAATGTTTAAATCACCAACATTTCATTTTGAATATAGAAGGGGTCGTGAAAATAACACGTATTGTATTGTATCAGATATTTGAAGCCCTCAAGTCTTTTGCTTATTTTTGTTCTTTATCATATTGAGATTCAGTCATTCCATCATAAAAAGCTTTTGAGACTGTCCTTAACCTTATACTCTAGGGGAGCTGGAGCTATGGACTCAGTGCAAAAGGCATTGTAAATTTTTTTGTAAATATTTTTTATTACTGTGAAAAAGACTGTCAATGTGATTTAAATGAAGAGAATGGGTTGAAAGAATGCCATGATATTTCCAGGTTCCCATAAACACTTTAGGGAAGTGATCAGCCTGTTTGTTAGTTGTCCTGGGTGCTGTCTTTAGATCCAGGGTCTGCTGAAAGGAGACTTTACGGTAAGTATGGTTTAAATGACTGTATGCCATTTGCACACAGTGGTAGAAGTCAAGCAGAGGCAAACATTGCAATTATACTTCTTCCCCTGGGTGGCCACTCTGTCAACTATGACCCAGGCTGCTTCCTCCTCTTATCTCTGCTCGACCCAAGGTCCTGCTGAACACCTCTGGTACTCAATCCCTTCCTGCCCACCTTTCCCCAGCATTTGCTATGGCAATCTGACTCTTCAGAAGTATCACTTGCTAGGACCACATCAGCTCTCTGTCCAGGCTTCTCTGACTGTGCACGAGTTCTATGAGAACCAGCCTGGCATCCTATTCCTCATGGATGGGGAACTGTCAGATCCAGGAATATGTGTTCCCTGGGGCTGAGTTTCTGTTCCCCATGGTGAACAATTTGATGAGGCCCCTTCTTTCCTTTTCCAACTTTTTATTCCTTGAATCACTTACATAGGTTTTTATTGTTGTTGTTGTTGAGAGTGTGACTTCGTTCAAGTCTGAAAGCTGCTTATAATGTTTAATGATAATTTTCTCCACCTTCCCTCTCAGAGCCTAGCTGAAGTCTTAGCGACCACGGGGCAGCTGCCCAACCCTCGGCCCCTGAGCTCCTTAGGACCTCACTTTTCCTCCGTTGTCCAATTCAGAATTGGATCTCTTCCAGTTTAAATATAAATATTTAACCGTATAATTGTTAATGGCAGGAGTGCAGCAGAACACACATGATGTAAAAACTGAAGTGGGCACTGCCGGGGAAGGCAGGCATCAGGAGGGGTCCGGGGAGGGCAGTAGTTGGGGAGGGAGCTAGATTTTTAGCACTATAATGGCATATATTGAAAAGACCATGGACACCCATGATTTTGTATGCGAACTTAAAACATTCATGTTTTTATAGTTATTCATTTGTATACCACGACAACGATCACAGTGTGAAATCTTTGCCATGTTATGGATAAGAAACAAACACGCTGAGAACGAGATAGCTTGTCCCCTGCCAGGCTTAGCATAGAAAGCATGTACATCATCATGTTACTTTGGAGATTGTCCACCCTGGAAATGTGGCAGGATACTGCGCTTCCCATGCACTGTTTATCGGGTTCAACTGATGGATTTACTCTCATAAATGGTGGCCTCGCTCTCTCACACTCTCTCTGAGAGTAAACTGCATGGTTTCTGAAAGCTTGGCTCTAAGGCTTGAGCACATACATGGTTTGGATAGAGTCCCTCATAACTACGATATTACCTGAGAATGCTAATATCATGATCTCCCCTAATGACTCCCAGTCATCTCAACCCCACCCCTCCTGTCACTGTCCCCTGTCCATGCAGGAGCTGATTAAGGAAGTGCACGTATTTGATTCTCAGGTCTTTTATTAGACTGCCTTATCTAAAACGAACCGTTCCCCTCATTCTCATCATTTCTTGACATTAACTGCTTTGAGGGATCTAGACAAATTGTCCCACATCTGAATTTGTCACCTCATGAAACAGGTAACCGTTTGGGAACAAAACACTCACAAAAAGTGACAACAAAGATACACAGAACAAAATACTGTTTTCCAGCCATCAAGAATAGCGTGCCCATCCCTTAATCCCCCCCAAAGACCCGACTCCAAGCAGGAGCCAGGACAGATGGAAAAGCCACTCTGTGAGAAGTGCCACTTCAGAGCTATCCGGGGAAAGCAAACGTTCTTTGATTCAGCAACAAAAGGCAAAATTTCCAAAGCCACACACCAAGGGACCTGATAGAGAAATTGTTTCCTCTTTATTTATTAAGGTAGGAGATTTAAAGATAGAACACCATCAGGCATGGTGGTGTGCACCATTAATCCTAGCACTCATGAGGCAGAAGCAGGTGGATCTCTGAGTTCAAGGCCAGACTAGTTTACAGAATGAGGTTTTAGGACAGATGAGGCTTCACAGAAAAACCCTATCTCAAAAAACCATATAAACTAATAATGACCTTGAAAAACCATACAAATTAATAATGATGATGACAATAATGGTAATAATAACACAAATCATTTGGCATTTCATAAATAGAAGCCATTTTGGTAGGAATAACAATTTCTGAGAGAAAAAAATCTGGAAAAGGGGGCAGGGGACAGGTGGCCATTTTCTACTGATTGTTCACCATATAGCTCCCCTCTGGCCTTGTGTTTCTCATTTGGCTGCATAGAGTGATACCTTTATCATGAATGGGCACAACAACTCAGGTCCACTGACCTAAATGAGGAGCTAACTTGCTAGAAACATGCAAAAGTGTTTGCTTTGCTCACCTTGAGGCTGCTGTTGGGTGCTGGGCCTGCCGTTTCAGAGAAAAAAAGGCAAAACAGAGAAGCTCAGGAGCCTTGTAATGGGTCATTAGCAAGCATGCCACCATCCGGGTTGGGTAAACCCTCCACCCTGAGTTCTTACCTTCCCTGGAGCCTGGCAGCATGTCCTGAGATGAGTGTTGGGTTGAGGGACACTGGCCCCTCCTCAGCCTTGCTACCTCCTGGCTGCTGCCTTCCAGCCTCCTGGCCAGATCTTCATTTTCTTGTTCCAGTTGCCTCTTCTGCTCTTCTAGAGCTGACTTGTCTCGTAGGAGATTGTTATAGGCCACCTCCAGATCCCTGGTTTGAGTCTCCAGCTGATCCCGTTCCCTCCTCAGGGCACCCAGCTGGCCCTGTAGCCCCTCGTGGGCCTCCTTGGTTCCAGTAGCCTGGCCCAAGGTCAGCTGGTGGAGGAGACTCTCCAGGGAGCTGAGCCGGGCTTTGGCGGACACCAGCTCTGCATGTTGGATGCCGCTGTCTCTCTGAAGGTCTTGGATGGCTGACATGGCCTGGTCCTCCCCGGGGCAGCTGGATTCAGTGGGGCTAGCCACAGTGAAGGTGTACTGGCAGCGGCCACTTCGATCATTGGCCTTTCGTAACTGTGCTGTCCTGGCCCCCAATTCCCATACCAGGCAGGCCAGAAACAACAGTTGGAGAACTGGCATCTTGGGACCACAGCTGCAGCAGCATGCACAGAGGGACATTGGTTGGGGAGGCTGTGTGAATTTCTTCTGGAGAGTTCTGCTGCAAGGTATCTGGATGGGTAGCCCTGCTGGCTCAAGCCTGAGGTCCAAGGAGGTTTATATGTCCTAGGGAGCCAGCTCTGGAAGGAGGGAGAGGTGACCACGTGAAGCTGGGTTGGGCCAGTCACGGTGGGGGGTGTGAGGAGTGAGGGTGGGGCAGGAGGGGGATGGTTACACTCACAGTGTCAGCAAGATTCTTAGGAAATAAAGGCTATTTTGAATTTATCTTTTGGAACTCCCACTGAATGGACCCCACATTTAATAATAGCTCCTATGTTTCTAGCCTGTTTGGATGTACATGTGTGTTTATACCCACCTCATCTGACAGGAGGAGCTGGCTGTGTGCTTGCTTGGACGGGGATACAAGTCTAGTTTGTGTTTCATTGGGGACCCCACCCTTGTCCAGTCACTGTGGAAGGAACTGAGGACAGACAAGCCTGAGAAGGCATAGCCTGTAGCAGAGAAAGAGACAAAGAGCCTGAAGAAGAGGTTAGCGCCCATTGGCTCCAGGCTCCCACAGAGGAGCTGAGAGCAGGGTTCGTCCCCCAACCTAAGTTTAGAATAAATATGTGGACATCACTAGAAAAACTCTCTATCGACCGCCTCTTGTCTCAGGAGTCTGTGCCATAGCTCTGGACCAGGTTTCATGACCTGTGTGCCCACAGAAGCCCGCAGGGAAACCTGTGCAGCCATCTCTGAAGAACTTTTCCAATGTATAAAATATAAAGAGTCAAAGGAACACATGATACCAAGTTTACAAATATGAAGCTATTTAAACACACAAAATATATGCTGTATGACATATTCAATCTAAGGTCTGATTTCAAAGTTCTTTTGAGTATGTACAATATTTCACGAGCCCCTATCAACTGTAATATAGGGTTGAAAGCATGTATTGTTAGCATGACTTCAGGTTTGTGGTTACATCCGTGATTAGATAAAATAGCTGAATGAGAAAGTTGTGAAAACAAAGATGTGATTTATTTACCAGTTCAAACTCATGGGCTGAAACCTAATAATACCTGCTTTTCAAGAAGAGCCAGCTACTTTGAAGGTGAGGTAGGAGGATTGTTTAAGTGTAAAAAAGAGTTCAGGGCCAATTGGGGAACAGAAGGAAACTTCCTCTTCTAAAAAAACAAAGAAAGAAACAAACATAAAGCAGATAGTAAACAACCAACATACAAACACACACAACACACACACACACACACCTTCCTCCAAAAGAAACCCCAAGGGGAAAAACAACAACAAACCTAGCAGGGGTTGCCAAGTACCAAGTACTGTAGGAAGTTCATGTGAGTCAGTAGTGAGCGGCAGCCTCATGAGAACATTAGAAACTGTTTACAGATTAGTACGTGTATATATGGCGAGTCGTGAGTGCAAGCACACATGTGCCATGTGTGCATGTGGAGGTCAGAGGACAACTTTTGGGGGCTGGCTCTCTCCTTCCATTTTGGGGACTGGGGGTTGAACTCAGGCTGTCTGGCTTGCACAGTAAGCCCGCTCCCCTGGTGTGCCATATCACTGGCCCCCTTGTGAGTACCTTAAAGCAACATTTGCATCTGAGCAATTTCAGGTTATCAGACACCAATAGCATCTTCAATACTTGCATAATAAATATTTCCGACGTCCCCTGGCAGATTGACCTGAAGGCTGAACAAGGACATCTTGCTCTCAGTATATTCCTGTGTGGGTGTAGGTGGGGGGTCTGTATGTGTTCATCTGAGTGGGTTCACACGCGTGTGGACAGGTGTGCATCTGGAGGCCAGAGGCTAGTGTCAGATCTTGTCTTCTATCAGCTCCCACTTTAGTTTCTGAGATGGTCCCTCACCAAACCTGGGGTTCACTGATTTGGTTAGATTGGCTGGCCAGCGAGCACCAAGTACCCTCCTGCCTCTGCCTCCCCAGAGATGAGATTGCTGGTATGTTCCTGGCTTTTGATGTCGGTGCTAGTGATCAGTCTCAGGCCGCCATGCTTGCATGGCAAGCCTTTTACCTCCTGAGCCATCTTCCTTACCCGCTAAGCTGCTATTGTTCAGGGCTTCTAAAGTTAAACCTGAGCCTGAGACGCTGACGAACGACTGCTTGTTTACTGCTGGCTAAATAGCGCTGTTCTCACTTCGTAAGTCAGAATCACTGAAAATGATTTTTAAAGAATTATGTAGTCAGCAGGGGTGAGATTCAAATCTGTTTGCCTTTACTCTTAGAGAAATTTCTTTCTTCTGAAAGGACTAAGATTGTTCTTGTCCTGCCAGCTGCATGGAAGGAAAGAATTCTTTTTTTTTTTTTTTTTTTTTTTTTTGGTTTTTCGAGACAGGGTTTCTCTGTGGTTTTGGAGCCTGTCCTGGAACTAGCTCTTGTAGACCAGGCTGGTCTCGAACTCACAGAGACCCGCCTGCCTCTGCCTCCCAAGTGCTGGGATTAAAGGCGTGCGCCGCCACCACCAGGCTGGAAAGGAAAGAATTCTGGGAAAGAAAAATGTAAGTGAGCAGGACTGCTTGGCATCAAAAGGAGTAGCACTGTTCTAGAGTAGGGCTTCTGACTTCAGTCAATTTTCCTTCCATAGCACAGCTTGTGGTGCAACATCCACACTTCTCCAGGCCTTTGCAGACAGCTTGCTTCGCCCTGCATTGAATCTCTGTCCCTTTCACTCACAGTCTATCCCTCCTCATCACCTGCGAGCAGAGAGCTAGGCTGCTGCAGCTCAGGCCTTGTCCCGTTGTGTGAGTCCTAGTCGGGGTGAAGTGAATGATGGTCTCTGGCATTTCCACTCATTCTGACCCTGTTTGTGAATACTGGGCTCAGACCCCCCCTTCATTCTCTGCTCCCTTTCTGGTTCCTGGCAGATGCTTATGCTTAGGGGAGGAATGTGGGGGTCTCTGTTATCGAATCTGGCTCTCCACCATCCTCTCTCCCCCATCTAGGGTGGTAGGTAGGGGCTGACGTCCACATGCTTCAGCCTTCGTCAACCGACCATCACCACTCCACTGCTCAGTGGTTGGAGCTCAGCCTGCTGTCAGTTCCCAGCTTCTCCTCACACAGAGAGCCGGGGCCACAGGCCTCGGATGTGAGCAAACTGAAGTTAGAAAAGTGGGTCTTGCTCGGAGTCACACAGTCCATGAACGGGAGAGCCAGAAGGCAACCCGACTCTCTCGATTTCTAAGCTTCACCTTCTCACATCAACCACATCAGAAAATCGACCCCCTTGCCTAGAAGTCATGAACCAATGCTCTAGGAAATGAGTTTGCTTCCTCTATCCCCAGCAAATGAAAGCCTTCCGTGCCAGAAGAGTCACACAACACCCTTGAGCTTTTAGTCAGTGACGGTGGAACTGCATCCTTTCACGAGGTAGAACCGTTCTCCCCTACACACAGCAAAGGGCTCTCTGGGAGAAACAGGAGCCGCTGCTCTCAACTGCAGTGAACATCTGGTGAGATTTAGCCTGCCCTTTTCACCTTCCTGTCACTCCTGGCAAGCCAGTAACCCCACTCCCTGCAGTCCCCACCTCCTGGATTTCTGGACATGGAGACTCATTGAGGAAACGTTGTCTGTTCCAAATTTTCAGTTAGACTATATTTCATCTCCATTTCCTCTCTAGGGCCAGGAGCCAGGAGGGAGGAACCAGAAGCTGGAAGCCAGGAGCCAGGGACCAGGAGCCAGGGAGTCTCTAGCTCAGACATGCCAGGAAGATGCTTATGAAGTGTGTCAGGCAGCTGCAGCCTAGATGTTATTGAAAAACTTTGAAGGGAGCATGCCTGAAGAGGTGGAGGCATCAGGCGCCTCTAGGGAGGTGACATCATTCAGGGGTGTTTTGTACAACCCTTCAAGGTACTTGCATCCCCGCTCCAACTCCTGCTTTTATTTTTTTTAGCAGTGGGTTTAAATTGGTTGGCTACTGGGGTCTCCTTCATGCAAATGATGCGCTGGTACTGCTGATTTTCTTTCTTTTCCTGTTGCTGTGGCCACTTGAGGGGGAAGACGTCATTCCATGAGCTTGTTGTATTGTGTGCTAAACTGATATTTATTATAGTTGTGGATGGGATGTCCAGAAGGCACATGGGGATTTATAAAAAAGGTTATTCAAAGGACTGAAAAATAACCCAAAGTTTAAAAAGAGCACCCGGTCACTATGGAGAGCCTGTGAAGTCAGTCTAGAAAGGGTAGAGTGGAGGCGCCCTTGGTCTCTAATGTTTTCTAGGTGCTAGAACACAGGGCCCTTGTGTGCATGAGTTTATGAGATTGTCACCATTATTAAACCAATAACAAACAATGTAATATTTATCTTGCTTTTATGATGATAAGTAATTATTTCAAGAGACTCTTTAGGAAAATCTTACAGACAGCTGCCTTTGCCTTGGGGTCCCTGCAGACAGGCTCTGTTGATTTGACTTGAGATAATTTCTGGTTGCCCTTTAAATCTTTTGACTTATATGATTTTTTTTACCTTTCTTTTAAAAAGCCAGACTTCATCTAAACATCTGTTTGTGTCTCCTGACAAGGGTGGCAGGTACCATGGACACATGTAACCACCTGTCCCTCTCAGCGAATAAAGCACCCCAGCCACTAGATGCCCTACCTTTGAATTTGCTGGGATTTTTATCTTTGCCAACTTGGTCTTTCTCAACTTGTCTCCTTATAATGATCCCCTATGCCTTTTATTTTTTCAAGTTTATTTATTTGTATTTTATGTGTTTGTGTGAATGTTTGAATGTATATATGTATGCCATATACATGTCTAGTACCTGTGGAAGCCAGAAAAGTGAACTGGATCCACTTGAACTGGAGTTACAGGAGGTCGTGAGCCACCATGTGGGTGCTGGGAATCGAACCTTTGGCCTTCTTGTAAGAGTGGCAAGCACTGCTCAGTTTGCTATGTAGCCCCACTTTTTGGATTTGTTTGTCTAGTTAGTTTTTTGTTTGTTGTTTGGTTGTATTGTTTCATTTTGTTTTGAGACAAAGTTTTATTAAATATCCCTTGCTGTTTTACTAAATATCCCTTGTTGACACGGAACTCTCTGT